TCTATTTCTGTTATCGATCAATAGCTATAATTGCGTGATTTCCATTTATGTTTCCAAGTACATTCAACCATGACCTATCAATAATAGAATTTGTCTTTGGTAACCCTCTTTTATCATGACATATATTTCACTTTGTTCAGTTCATTCTAATTCAGCTTGTAAATAATTTTTTACGTAATATTTTACGTAATATTCAATAGTGTAATTATTTCTTTATATATTTCGTTTTCATTCACTTCGTTTTCATTTAATAAATTATTCTTATTCGATATTTCATGTTTTTCGTGCTAATTTTGTTAAAATAAATTTTTTATATTTCTTTATTATATATTAAAATAAAATACAACTTTTTAGTAATGCTCCGAATTCAAACTTGAATATTTAAAACAATAAGCTTTTAATGAATACACTGAAAATTCTATATTTATTAAATTACATTTATTACGAGCGATTCTTTAACAAATTCACGAGTAGAATAATTACAAGAAAGAGTCTATATAACGAAAGATATTAAAAATATCCTCGGGATATAATTTTCTTATATCTTAACAAAATAAATAACTTTTTTTAACACGTACTATTCTTAAAACATTTAAACAATAGTAATATTGCAATGGTATTGTTAATTATCACATAGGCATCTCGTAATTATCTCGAATATAATTAATTCTGTCTCATCATATTCACGTTTCATTGTTATTTTTCACAAAGTAATAATTGTCATTACGTTTAATCCTCTTTGAATTATTTTGTTCGTTTGAAATTTTCACGTAACATTCACGTAATTTGCAATTGTAAACAAAATTAAAAATTCTTCGATCGATAGAAAAAGAAATAATTTCTTGTTTAAGCATTTGCTACTAACGTATCTACATGTGTGTAGATTTCGTCAAGGTCTTTGATTACATCAATGTATCGATCTGGTGCTTTCACTAAGGTCTGAACTTTATCTAGTGAAAAAATGCTTTTTCTTTCGAGGTCATTCAAATTATTACTATATTAAAGGATTAAAAAAGATAGAAAAGGATAGGAAAAATGAATAAATATCGTTCGATTGATTGACACGTTGATCTGACACGATCTGAACGTACTCGATCTCGACCTAATTTCAAGCTTGATAATTGATTTTGTTTCTTTTTTGATTAAGGTGATAGGTAATTAACGTTAGATTTGTCCAGTGAATTTTATAAATAAAAAAAGTAGAGCAATCGTCTATATTACCAACCATATAATTAATAAACATATAGATATAATTTTATTTTTGCTTGAATATTATTAAAATTTATTAAAAGAAATTTATTTATATAATTGATCATTACATATAAATATAATCATTTTATTCTTTGAAACGTGTCCTCGACAAGAATTACAGTTAAACACGCAAACAAATTTGCAATGTTATTGCTCTTTTATTCAATGCTTGTATTTGCTTTAAAGAAGAAAGTCTTTTAAAGAATTTTATTAAATCGACTTATCCCTGATACTTGAACTGTATGAATATTTGGGTGAATATACTTTCGAATTGATTGAAAAGACGATTTATAATGTAGAGAGAAAAAATTTTATCTAGAATCGAACAATAAGAGAACGTACACGCGATATGAATATACAAATTAAGATATATTATTTATTTCCATGCATGCTACGATTTTTATCGTAGATTTCATTATTTATGTACTCGAATTTATTCAAGAAATATTCTTCATCTTCATCAATATTGTAATTTCTATTTTTAGATGTCTATAAAATTACAATTCAACTTGTAATATATACATGCTTATTCCTTTTTCACAATTCTGTATCGTTTTTCAATTTCATCTTCATAAAATTATTTTTTAGATCAACGTGCAAATTAATTATCGTATTTTTTAATAGCATTTTCGATCGCGTGCATATTCACGGTGCACTCTCAATGCAATGCATAACAAATCATTTCTTTAATAACCATTTCTCGCGCGTAATATAATGAAACTGCTATTTACCTTTTAATACGCTCTTTCCTTCGATCTTTATTGAATGTGTTGCGGTATTTTTATGCATTCAATTTCTCTTTTAACGAGATTAAAAAAAAAAAAAGAAATATGAAATAGAAGATGAAATAAAAAGGAAGGAAATTTTTAGTAAACAATTATTTTATTATAAACGACACATATAAGTTGTCATTATCTCATACATATATACCATTACAAATATATTCAGACCATAAACAGATATAACATAAATATATATATATATATTATTTATTTGTATAAGTACAGATCTATTCGAATTGTTGTTGTTTTTTCTTTTATTATTATTATTTTAGACGTAATTCACTTAACCCTTTCGCTGTTCAATTCTAAAAATTAGTTTGACTTGTCTTTTCTCCAAGTTTAATTTATATAACAATTGTATAAATTTAGTTGATTCGAGTTTTTCTATTTTATTGTTCCCATTTGATATTTTTATACAGAGATTTTCCCCATAAGAATAGTTTTGATTCGTGGTGATTTATAGCGAAAGAGTTACGCTATATTCGAAGACACGAGTGATTATAGTTTATCGATTTTAGCATAAACGGAAGAAGGCACATAGAAATTTATTATGAATCTGAAGATTTGTCACTCTATTGTTTGTTGTTATATTACATTTGTTGAGAATACAATATTCAGTTTTTTTTTTTCTACGTTTAACTTTCAGTAGCTTATAATCTACAGTATTTCGTAAACACAAGAAGTAAATAAATAATACTTCAAATAAAGATTTTGATTCGAGATAGAAGAAGATCGTGTTTCGAACAAATTTGTTTGAAAATTTTGATACTATTAACGATAATACGGTAATTTTATATCAAAGTAAATTTAATAATCTAAATTCGCTTAAATCAATATTGACATATTACAATAGGTATTTCAAATTGTATTACATAACATGATTAACAATGAATAGCTTGAAGCAACAATTGCTAAATGACACATTTATTCGCGTAACAGCTATCATACTTGTTCTTGATCAATATACACGTTATATTTACATTTGTTTCGTAAATAGAAATTTTTATATTAGAAATATGGTGTCGTTCATTCAGATAATACTGCTATTAGTAAATTGTGAGTAAAGCAAAATTTATCACGAATAATTTCTATATAAAATTTATCATAATATTACGATATATCAAAGGCTAAATAAAAAATTTCAAATGTCTCTAATTAATTTTCAATTTATCTGAAATGAAGGACACCATTCATTTTCCTATAGAAAATCGTAGCGTTCGAAATATTACTAAAACAATGGTAATAATCGTTATTTAATCCCTATTCGTTTATATTCTATATTTTGCTTTACAACACTATCAAAGTGTGAAATATAATGTGTACGTTCGTTGACAGTCGAAACTCGAGATCAACCGAGGTTAAATCGGTTTCAGTGTACGCTCGAAAACTGGAAACCTAACGAATAACTTCTACAGAATAAATTCTAATCTACCTTACACATCGAAAGCATCATCATTGCATTTTTCCATCGTGCCTTAAATTATTTTCAATCACGGGGAAACACGAATTTTTTTTTTTTATTTTTACAATTAACAGATTAATAATACTATCGTATTGTTGCGCGAGTTGATATCTCATTTTCATTTGAAAATGCTCTTTTCTTTTTTCCCACCCCCTCCCCATTCTACGAAATTTATTTTTTACATCAAGAAAATATTTATCGCGTGTATTCTTTAACTATTTATGAAATTTACGAAATTTAATGCGAAGCTTCTTTCTTTTGATCGTGATATTGAATTTTCAATTGGGTAAATTCTTAGAAGTAAGTCTTATTATTAATTTTTTAAAAAAAAACTTTCTTCATCGAAGGCGAAGTAAAAGGTACTTTCTTTAATTGGGATATTTAAGAAATCTGACTTTCTAAGAATTATGTTAATATTGTGGATTGAATATCGCGTTAGCTCAAATATTCAAAATAGTCGCGAATTATTCAAGGCATCGGTGTTCGATTAAATAATTATTTAACCTTTTCCACTGCGGATTTAAAAGCGTGAAAATCAATTTTCTGTAAAAACATAATTTTCAATAATAATTTTAATTAATCAGAATGATATTTTATTTATTCATTGAATAATAACATTTGAGAAATTCGAATATTATAATTATAACATTTTTTATTCTTTTAAAAAATATGAAAAATTAAAACACATCCGCAGTGAAACTGTTCGATTACTTTGGCCCCTAATATGGGTGATTTCTGAAACCTTTTTCTTGTACTTCAATTTCTTTCTTTTCTTTTTTTTTTCTTTTCATCGGGAAGACGATCTAAAATCCTTTTAATTCATTCTGAAATTTTGTTTTGTTGATACATACTCAAAAGAAAAATTTATTTCTCGTTGAAAATATTTGTGCTGCACCAAGGATTTTAATTTTCCTCTCCTCTTTGAACGAATGATAAAATTTCTATATGGGGATCGAATAATATCGAAAACAATAAAATATTCACTTCGAACACATATATTGTGCGCTCGTACGGAAACTGCACGAAGAGAACGCGTGTTACAAATTGCAATCGTATTCGCCAATTGATCGATAATATTCCAATCGAACTCAACAACTCGACCGATTTGCTCGATTTGTCTCGACACGTAATAAAATCTGATGGATTAAGAACTATTATGCTCGCCAAAGAAAAATAAATAAATAAATAAAGATCAGTCTTTCTTTTTTTCTTTTTAAAAAAATTTTATCAATTACAATTAAACCACTTGCATCCCTTTGTTCTTTATATAGCCACGTTTGATTTAAAATACGATATCTTTGATCGTCTACTATACCATTTTACATTTTTATAAAAGTATAGCGATTAATCGAGTCGATAATCGTTTGCGAAAAGCGTTCAATCGGGTTCATAAACGTAGTGCGATTACAGTTGAAGCGTTTGCACGATCGAAGTGCACGATTTAATTCGCCTCTTCCTTAATATCAGTCGATTTCACACAAAGAAGTACACGTATATCAGTCATATTTCACATAGAAGAATACACTTTTTATTGTTCCACAAACAACAACAACAAAGAATAATCAGCTTTTAACAATATACAGTGAACATGAGGGAAAAATTTCGAATCGTAAGGTGTGGTTAACTCGTGTACATTTTGCCAATTTTCAAATTTATTCTATATTCGTATAAAAATAAGTAAAAAATGTAGAATCAAATTTTCGTGATAACCAAAAAAAAAATTTATTCTCCCTCTTTTTCACATTACTTTTCCACGTTTTACATTTACCATAGTTAACCATATCTCAATGCCCGAATATTTTTATTACTCACTGTAATTAATCTCCATCCCTGTAAACGACGTCCATCTTGATGAATTCAAACAAAGTGAATTCAACAATTCACACGAGTTCCAATCAAATTCAAAATCGTATCTCCACGAAGGTAATTGGTCATTCATCGTTCTGGCACGTCGTTTTCGTCGATCGTAGCACTGTAATTTTAATCCTAATCATCCCAATCAAAGGGTGATCCCTTGCTCAAAAGGAATCCTCGGCTTCGTCCGTGTCTATCAATGGCACCCTCTCGTAACGGAGCACGGTGCTCGCCCCAGACGCCTTAAACTGCTAAAGCGCCATGCTTTTGATCTCGTTCTCGTTCATCTGGCCTTGAGACGAGGAGGGTGTAGCCTCGACGAGCCCTTCGTCCTCGCCCTCGACTTCCTGCTTGTCGACGCAGTAACGGCAACGCATCTTCGCGTCGTCGCCCACTTGGACCGATCGCGTTATTACGATGAGGGTGGTAAGACTGATGACGAACAGGCCGGACGGCACGATGATGGCGATCAGCAATTCCGTCCGCGTTTTGTTCAGGTCGAAACGTGCGACGACTAACAGCGAGTTGTTCTGGAACAAATGGCATTAAGAGATATCGCGCGGGAAATATCGGAAATACCCCGAGGAATCGTCCCAAACGACGCTCATCTGATCTCAATTTATGATTTTTCTTTCGAAGATGTGGAAAAATAACACCGTTGTGGGAAAATTGGAAATTGGAATACATTGAGGAGGAATTATCTCAGAATAATTCGGGATTTGTGTGGTGATGATTTTTTTTTTTTTTGGAGATATGTAAATTAGAATTGTATTTGTTTATTTGTTTACTTAATATTTGCACTAATAATCTGTACGTGTGATGAAAAGGCTTGACGATGCTTTTCTTTTTTTGAATTTTTGAAAATGAGTACACGATAAAATTAGGAAAATTTTTTACACGTATTTGTTTAATTATTTTGTAACAAATGGAGTTAGGGAAGTCAGGGGTTGAGTAATCTTTCGATGACTTGTGACTTGTAAACGCGCATATTCCTCGCTTACAATATTCTTCAAATTTTTGTGGAAGGTAATACGATATGTAATATGTATGACTTAAGATAATACGAATTCTTGTGGAACAACTTATATAATTGCAATTGTTTCTTTGATGATTCATAATTGTAAATAAATAGAAAACGATGTACATGCGATCTATTTGAAAAAGTGGAGGGTTGACAAATTGAAATTATGGATAATTTCAGTCGAAAATTTTTATCTTGTTCATAACTTGTAAACGTTTCATTGGACAGAAATCTACATTAGATTGCATTTTCTATGAAATATCGTAATTATACTATTGATTTTATAATTCTTTTATCATATGCTATTTTTTTTTATCGTTCTTGTCAATTATATAATAGTAAATAAAGTGTATCTTGATGGTAGTATCAATGGTAAACTAGATTCAAATGATATTTGCTCTCTAATTACAATTATTGATTTCATATGTGTATATAGATATGTGTGCATAGTAGTTTTATATGATGTCTGTTTTGATATGTATATTAGTATATAATGGTACAATAATTTATGATTTCTTTTATGCATTTTCTACGTCTCTTTATTGGGAAGAATGTCAAAAACATTGCAATGACGTTTTAAGAATGGGAAGGCATAAATATCGAGAGGAAAGCTTCTTAAGAAATTCAAGATCTAGGTTAGTAATGGAACGAATACTTAATGAAAAATGAAATAGCTTCCTCATAGAATTTTCTCTCTGTCAGTCACTTTGGTTTCTTTATATTCGCCCTATCTTTTTCAAAGGAATTCCAAATGTGAAATATAGTTTAATTTCAACGGGCAATCTCTTTCATTAGATTTGTGGAGTTTTTAAGATGTTTGAATAAATAATAAAAATTGAGCAACGATCCGATTTTTTTTATATATTATATTTATTTTTATATTTTTTATATTTTTTTATATTTTTTTATATTTTTTTATATATTTTTTATATTTTTTTTATATTTTTTTTTTATATTTTCACACATTGGAAAAGCTTGGTAGAAAGAAAGGATTGAAAAATCTCAAGAAAGAAATATTATTCTTTGAAAAACAATAATTAATATTAACTTCGAATTCATATTCATATATCAATCTTCGGTTGCTAATTAATTATATGTTACATGCAATATTTGCGTATAAATATTTCAAATATTATCTTCTATAATTTATTCCACGTTATATATTCATCGAAATATATCGAGGAATAGTTTAACAGCAACGATCACGTTTGAAATATTTCACTTGAAACATTTTCAATGAGGCAATCGCACACGAAACGATATGAATAAAATATATATGCTGGTAGATCCGTATTCACGAATTTTCATTAATATTCGAGCCTTTCTGAACCATGAATCACGGAAAAATTTAGTGCAAAAATAATAATAATAATAATTAAATGCACTTCGTTAGATTCTGTAATTTAATTCGCGAAAAAAAAAGCAAGAGAGTCGATCGTTAAGAGTTGCTGTGACATTTCAGAGAATAATTTCAAGATTCAATTAAGAAAGAATTGAACGAGGAATTTTTTCATTGAAAAAAATGAAAGATACAAAAATAGTGGGTAAGACAGAATTCCACTCGAATCGCTCATTAAATCTCCTGCTTCGAATAAAATAATCATTGCATAACCTTTTTGCATGTATATATACCTATATATATTCATAGAAAAATTAGAAGACGTTTTCATTGGTGGTAATTTTAGCGTTTTCGTTGTTGCATACTAAAGCGGTAATTTAATTTCGAGAAAATTTATTGTAATTCCAGTTGCGTAATTTTTCTCTCGGTTAAAAGTTTCATTTCGTTCTATGCCCATTCTATGAAAGTTATATAACGACTTGAAACACAGCGAATGGTATTATCAAGTTCGAAATTTGATTAGATGGAAATGAAAGCATCGAGTTGTTTTTCTAATGGGAATAATCTATCGTAGCGCCACGAGCTTGAATACATTTTGTTTCGAGCTTTATAAAGCTTCTTAATTAGCTGAGTAATATTTACTTTTGGAATTAAAATAATGGCAAGAAATAATAATTTTTTTGTTTTAATAATAGATATCAAAAATATTATTAGAAATCTCTCCGTGAAATTGTTCCTTGTAGTTTTCTCATAAATCAGAACGTACATAAATTATTACGAAACACGCTCTTTAAATTGAAACTCGTGATAAAAATAGTAGGTCGAAGCAACAGGTTCTTAATTTAACATTGCAGAATTATTCATGGAATAATTAAATACATTTACTTATAAAAAACAAACTTATCGTTTGCGAATTTCTTTATATATATATATTTTTTTTTTATACAAATAGATAGAAAATAATATAGGGAAATAATACCCCATATATATCAATAAACGATATGATTATTTTTGAAATTATATTTGTATTAATATTAATTGAAAACTGATAAAAGATAAAAAGAAATTTTAGCAAGCCATTGATTTGTTTCTTTTGTAAGTGAATATATTTAAATAATATTTTAGAAAGGAAAAGAAAAACGTGAAGTTCAAACAAAGATTGGGATACCTTGTTGTAGTAACAGGGGTATCTACTCTGCGCCGTCTGATTGTCGCCATTTCGACCGTGAGTGGCGAGGAAATCTTTACATTCCCCTTTTAGGGTATTGACGCAACCCTCGAAATTGATGTAGAGGCGAGAACTGTTGTAGATCGTGAGGGATCGTTGCTCAGGTACATAGATATTCGTAGGATCCACTGGATATTGCAAGCTCTTCTCGTATATGTTCAGAAAACTCGTGAAGTTGATGGTTGGTTGAGGTAATGGGATCTCCTTTAACAAGGTGCCGTTCACGCAGTCCTGTGTCCTGCGAAAGAGAAAGAGAGAAAGAAAAAAAACACAGGATGTATATATCCTTTCGAGAATGTTTCCTGTGATAAATTTTTGATGAATACTTTCGAAACGAAAGATCGATCTTAAAAGGAACGAGTCTACGCGAGAAAATAACATTGTAGAATAATGTTTTGTATAGGAATAAAAAAAGTTCTCGTAAACTTATTTTACATATTTTTTAATTTTTTCGATAGAGAGAATTTTTTGAGAATTAGAATGTAAATAAGAATATAAAAAAACAATTTATTATCTTTGAATATAAAGCATACTTATTTCTTGAACGATTTTATTATTTTTATTTTTTTTTATCGTTTATCTTATGTAACAAAGGGCGAATCCAAATAGCATATTTTTATTATATTAGATATTTATTATACGTAAGCTCGATTGATATATCGTATACATGCATCGTATAAATGCTTGTAATAGAAATAGAATATATAATATATAGAATATATAATATATATAAATAGAATATATAATATATTCTTCGTATCAGAAAACAATGTTTTCGATTTAATTTCTCTGAGAGAAAAGAAACATCTTATATTTTTCAATTCTTTGAATTATTCCCCTCGTGCCGCATTTGTTTTAAAAGCAAATTGTTGAGGAGTCTCTCCCTATCTTTTTCGATGAAACATTACTTTCGTGAATACATTTCGAGAAAAATCTCGCGTTTCTGCGACCGCGAGTACACATTTCTCGACCATTTTTTATGGGATGTTTCATTGTAAAATTTTTCCCTGCTTGTCGATCGTTTCGTCCCCCCGCGTGGGCGTCCATCGGTGTAAAAAGAGAGAAAATATCGAAATAAAAGAAACGCGAAGAAAAACTTGAAGATAGAAGTGAATCGGGGGATAGAGCCGCAGGATCAATGGTTGCCATGGAAATACCCTCGTTGGCGTCTTCTAAACCCTATGAAGGAAAATGCATGTGCCACGTGTCCGTGAGAAGTAAAAGAAAATGTAGGAATACAATTGTACGGTACAATTAAAGGGGAATTGCATAGGCGTTTGTGTTCGAATAAATTAACCTTTAATCTTACAATTCATATCACGGTAAAGTTCGATAACGTTGAAGGGCAAACCTCGAGAAAAAAATAGTATTCTACCAATCTTTGTTATCAATAATCAAAATTTCTTATTTTAACTTTCCATTTCGATTAAATTCTATTCAAGATCGAATAAATAGAATGATATCAGATTTGGAAATTTTTTTAAAAAATCTCTAATTTTGTGTTAAGTATTGACATAAGTTAAACACGAAGTTGAGTTTCAATTTATTAATTCATATAGAATCGCGTATAAAAATGAATGCGAACCGAATTAAATTCGAACGAATATAAATTAGAATAGAATAATTCTCTTTTTTTGCGTTATTTCACGCTCAAATAATTTTCAATCGGAGATTCTTTTCAGATCGTTCTAAGAACGTTGAAATCCAATATTGATTTCGTAAAGGGTAGCAGTATGCATTGGACCATTATCGTATTGGTTTATATGATTAAACGTGGAATTTTGCGATATCCAGCTTCTCATTTATCCATTGTAAAGTTTCTTCTCTTATCTCGTCGTTCATTTTTTTTTTTTTTAAAACTAGAAAATTATAAGATATGAAAAAAGAAATATGAAATGTACAAAATACACGAGAAGAACTTTAAGTCGTTTTCTTCATCATCAGATTCATTCAGTTTGATGAAATATTAGAAATATACATTAATTCGATGTTTTTTTAAACAAAAAAGTTTCTTTAAAATTATCTTCATTATTTTTTTTCTTCTTCTACTTTTATTTTTTATTCTAATTCTTTCTTTTCCTGAATAAAAATGTCAGATTTATATTTGATTTTTGCTCGCCATTCGATATTTACTCAAACGTTTTTAATTTGATAGCTGACATCATTTCTTATTATATTTTGTGAGTTGTACAACTTTTTCTAAAAGTATATCATTTTAACACTCGGATTTAAAATATTTTAATTGACGGATATTGAATTAAATCTATTACATTTAATAGATATACGCGACTGTTTGCATTCTCACGTCTTAATTACGTCGCCAGACAGCTTTCGAGCTTGCTCGAAAGCTCTATATACAATCCTTTCGTCGGATTTGCATTCGAAATCTCGATTGTCGCGATAAAATGAAGTCATTAAGTAGTATCGATTCAACGACTGGCACGACATGCAACAATTTAATTCCTTGTTGTTAGAACTTGAAGGTATATCATCTCTTATATCTGCTCATTTGACTATTTGCTTTTATATAAAATAAGAGTTTTACATAAGGAGTTAAATTTTTAATTATGAATTTTAATGGATTGGGATTTAATTAAATTAAAATGTTTTTCAAATATACCGAAGAAATATACAAAGAGAAATATACAAAAGAGAGAGAGAAAATGAAAACATGTAAATGAAAGGAGAGATTCATAAAATATTAATATTCAACAAGAGATGCTTCCCAGAATTAACTTTATCATATTTTAAATTTCACGAACAGCTATGTATTTATCCTTACTTTCTACATCAGATACCAGGTGTAATAAGATTACATCGAAGACCAATAAAAACTTCTTTTGATAATAACAGTTTACTGTTATTTTTATAGTAATTACACTTCAATTTCTCGAATAATTTAATTTAAAAAATATTAATCCTTATTATTATTAAAATTACAAATTTGTTTATTTTAAAAGACGTTCAAATTTGATTTACATTGCAAGAGTGTGAGTATCATCAAAAAATTATTGAAACCGGAATTTAAATAAAACTATTAACAAGAATCAATAATCATCGTAAGTTCAATATTTTATTAAATTCATATAAAATTCAATTTTATATGGAATAAAATTTTAAAACTATCTGCATAATTATTAATAATCTTCTGACTGACACTCACCTTACGTCGTTCATCTTCTTGTGCACCTCCAAACAGCTAACAATAATGCTCCCGTTTCGATCCTCCCAAAATTGGTCAGGCGTGGTTAGCCTGACGCCAGGCAGATTTCCATTCGCTTTGTTCAGTGCCAGGCCACGTTTGCATTTCGCTGTGACGATGTTGTCATCTTGCATAAGGAACACGTTCACGTCCGACGTGACGATATCAGGACAATAACGATCGCAGTTGAACAGATTCTTGATTTTCGTGCATCTCGAGTTGTGACAGCTGAAGAAGCCGTTCAGTTTCATGTTGTCCTTCTCGCTGTCCACGACAATTCTATCTGCCTTGTAATGGCATAACATCAGCTCGCTTATGTTCACGCAGTGGCCAAGGTTGCAGTTAAACACGCCTGAAAGCACGCTGCACTCGCTGCCGTTGTTGCAATTGTATTTTTTAAAAGAAGCCTCGTTCACCTGGACGAGATAAAAAAAGAGATTCTTTGGTTTTAACCATTCGAATTGTATTAAAAATTTCTTTTCAATTTAAAAAAGTCACGCGCATCCATTTCTCTTCGTTCTCACGCAGAAACTCATTTGGGAGTCGTTTATATTCCTCCATTTTGACGCGTGTTTCTTCTGGATAGAAATTTTATGATTGATGTATATATACATATATATAATTCTATATTAACTTCATTATCATTGTCACGTTTCATATAAGCTCTTGGATAAATGGAAGAAAAAAAAAAAAAAAACGAAGCTTGTAACACGTAAAAGTTAAATTTCTATTCTCTTTTGACTTCATAATTCTCAATTCTTAGCTTCTATTGTAGTATAATAAAAAATTTAATTTCTTTTTTTTTTTTTCCTCTTTTGTTTGCACTTACTTTACAGAAATTCATGGAAATTCATGAAAATAATGCTCGATCTTTCGGATCACGATGAAAAAAAAAAAGAAATTCAAACAAATCCGCGAAAAAAAGTTTTATTTTGAATCACGATGCGTGAGAGATGATCGATAAAAGGTGTGGCAGGCGAGTAGGATACGCCATTAGAAAGTAATTCAAGACGAACTCGATCGTGAAAGCGTTACGTATTGGATAATCAAGTTAGCGCATCGAAGCAATTGGTTCGCCTGTCTACGTTCATTAAATTAGTATTTCATTATATTAATTTATCACGTTGGATCAGCATCGATATATTTACAACTTTATCATCCATTTAACAGCACAACAACACGTTCGCAACACACGAGATCATATTCCTAAATATCCATTTTATAAAATTTTATAATAACTTTTTAAAATTTCAATCCAAATTCTTTCTTTCATTTTCTCATAACTGTATAGATTTACACAATGCAAATGTGGATATTTCTGAATTCTATTAATTTTTCAATGATCCTATTTGTCAATTTCTAATTATCAAGCAATATGTAAACAGTTATGCAAACGTTGCATGATTAATGCAAAATATTCAGATTATTATCGAGATGATAATGAGATGTGTTGTACTGTTGTTATAGATGTTTCTCTGATTTGTAATAGTTCTAGAATTCGCAAAATATAATTTTGATAATATGAATAAATCGATACTTCCGTCTGCTGATGATCGGCTATTTAACAATGGTTTTAATTTTTGGAAAATATTGTTCGCGTTGTATTTGTTGTATTTGTGTTTACTTCCGTCAAAAAATTCCAAACAATGAACATTTTGACCAAGTACAATCAGTCATCTGTACTCGATGCTATTCTCTCTTTTTTGCACTTTTTTTTGCAATGCGAATAATCTTTTTAGAACGCGCCTCTATCCGCGCTTGATACTCTTTTTACCTATTTTTTTTTTAACTGTACAAAATATTTCAGAAGAGAATTATATTACGTGCAATATAATATGGAAAAAGAAGAATAAAATTTCGGTAAAATCTTTGTTTCTTGAGATCAAAATTCAAAAAAAAAAAAAAAAAAAAGAAAAGAACAATATCAAAGAACAGTGTTAAAAATATTGAATTACTTTGTGAATATTAAAATTCAATTTTCTCGAAATTTTTCGTTTATTTTTTAAACGAATCAATAGAGTGGCATTTCGATTCTTATCAAAGAATTGTTCTATCCTTTTTTTCGATTCACTTTTGCAAAATCACTCTTTCGTGGTCCATCATCCACCGTGCGGTAACAGAAATTCCGACCGTAAAATGGCAGGGATAGTTGCGTTAAAACGCCCTCCATCTCCGTTCTCATCCTCTCTCTGGTGTAATCAGATTTTTTCCCCCGTTAATTCCATTAGAGCAACGTTCATCGAACTACTTGTACTCGGATTAATTAAAGACGTGGCTGCCCTTTGTGCGAGCTGTTCCATCGATTTTCTCGGTGAGAGAAACGCGCGAAAGATCCGAGAAATTTTCACGGTGATCAACGATCGTCGACACGCCTATACACCAATTCGAACAATAAAAAAAAAAAAAAAAAAAAGAAAAAAAACGACAAGTGGGCGAGAGAGAAATCGACTTTTTGTTGAAGTTGACAACGATGATGGAATGGAATAAAATTCTGAAAAAAATCGAGTCGATAATAATGATCTTCGCGAGTTATCGCGAATGGCGTTCGTTCAAAAGCTCTTTTCTGTCGCGTGCAATTTGATCACTTCCGGTGTATTGTTGGCCGCGGAACAAGCGGAGAAAATGGAGGTTTAAAACGAACGCGTTCGACGCGGGAAATAACGAGATTGCAATTTCTCTAATTATTTCGCGAGCGGAGCTAATACTGAAAGAGGAGAAAGAGCGCGTTGAGAGGCAAAGTTTCACGGCCTTACTTGTTCGGGGAATAATATTTTTAGAACGAAAAAAAAAAAAAAAAAAACGCCCAGACACATCGATTTCAAGCGACAAAAATAATGGAAAATTGTTGTCCGCTATCATTGTTGAGATATTATTGCTTAACAATTTTCTGCCGATAAAATATATTCTTCCGCGTGATGCTGCGAGAAGCGCAATTCTAGAAAGTTATTCAGATCAATTTATTCCGCGCCGCGTCTCTCCAGGGGATGGAAACTATTTGTTCGAGGTGTTACACTTATAGTGAGAGGAATTCGGGAAAATTATTATGCGAAGAGATGCTTGGACGAATCGGGAAGATCGATATCGAATGTTGAAAAATTCACAGAACGTTTGACGATATTTCGCGCGAAAATATTCACGTTTTCCGCCTTTTCGCGTTTCGAGAAATACAGAAACGTGCTCGAGCAACTCAATTTAGCCTTTCTCGTTCATTTTTGACTCAATTTTAATAACTGAGTAATAATAACTGAGTCTAAGTAACACATTCTATCCACTTATTACAAAAAATGTTCGAATAATTAAAAATCATTTATCAAAAATCTACGGTAATTTATGAACACAAATGTAATTATTAATACAGTATAGAAGGGGTGAAATAATTTCTATTATTAAAGTATTAAAAATTAAATTTTCATTTTTATATTATATCGTATATTTTATAGAATTAAAAATTTATATTTTTTATGATAAACGTTAAAAGTTTCGTACAATTCCTTACAACTCTTTGGCTCATTCTATTCTATTATAATAAGAAAATTAAACTTGTAAATATGTATAGCATTTTTATGCAGAGAACCTTTTCTATACATTATATAATTAAATAATTAAATTACATTAATATAAAGTTGTCGTAGATGTAGCAATGATGTCGTAGCAAGATATTGACCATTTGTTGATATCTATTTAAATGCATAAATGTAAAGTTTGATACGCGTTTTATCTGAATAACTTTTTTTATCGAAGCAGTTTATAACGTGGAGCGCATGTGAATTAAAGGAGCATGTGAAGTGGTCGTAAAACGTGTCTGACCGTATACGCTCTTATTCCCCTTACATGCTACTCCATCCTATTAGTTTAAATCTATCATTGGTTTCTCGTTGAAATCGATCATAAATTTTCCCGGCTGATAAAAAAATATTCCGATAAAATTGCATATTGAAATTTTATTTTATATATATATATATGTAAAAAAAAAAAAAAGAATTCACCACCAATTCAACGAAAACATTTAGAAATTTAAAATTATCAATGGAATGAAAAGTCAAAAATCGAGATATCTGGTAAACTGACCTTCGGGCAAGATATGGTGCTGAATTTCGTGCAATTTTCGAAAACGATGTCCGTTCCATTCCTTCTTACGGTCGCGTGGATCTGAGGGCAGAATCCTGTGGTTCTTGTCAAGCACCACTCCCCGCAACTCGCCCAACCGCAATTATTAGTAAAGGTGGTGTTAACGGTTTGGCACATGACTGGATCGGGATCGATCCCCGCGTGAAAAGCTCTGGAAATTAATTGCGCCGCCGTCGTTAATATTTCGCCTGGGAGTGGTTTTGAATTTTGCATGACGGGGCGCGATACTCCCTCGTGTACACGCCGATGAATTTGTTGACATCGCGTTAATATCGGACGTACAGTTTCGAAAGATATATATATTTTTTTTTTTTTTCGACTGAACATCGATAATAGATATAATGGAAATATAGTGGATCGATCACGTCCACGTAATTTATGATTCATAACAGAGGTAGAGAGGATTAAGAGGAGGCATTTTGCAATGTAAAACCTCAACTTTGACCTATGCGTTTGAAATCTCGAGGATGTTATACGAATGATCGAACGTTCCTCGAATTGCAAGATCTATCGTTAGATTATCGCGTTATCAGTTATAACGAATCGCTCTGATAAATTACATCGACCATGGTGCGTCCATCACAGTGTAGAATTAGCAAATTATCATGATTACTTTTAAATTATTAACATTATCCTTTGATGGATTTCGAGGAAAATAATGGAAAAAAGAAGAATTACGGTATGGATTTGTTCAATTATAAATACATTATTGGTATCTATAATTATCTATAATTTATATCACTTTTATCTTCGTTTTTATTTCAACGAGTCTCATTGATTAAATAATAACAGAGAAATAATAAACTCGAATTATCAATTATAATATAGTGTCGTAATCGAACAATTAGAATAAGGATTGCAAACCCGTGACGCAACACCGTGATTAAATTGGATAGATATTGCGCGACAATAGCTATGCATTATGTCACTGGAAATANAAAAAAAAAAAAAAAAAGAAAGAAAAAGAATCCATTTTCTTTCATTATCGACATTTTCTAAAATCATAACGCTCCGATACAAGAATTTTCACAATTCAAATCGAAATCTCCTACCCTCAAAGTAGTCTTCTTTCACGAATAAAATTAAAGGGTTAAAGTCGGGATCATAGATAACACGAGTTATAGATTTCCCGTGGAAATTGAGGCCGGACAAGTCGTAACTTAATTACTATCGGCCTTGGCCAATTAATCGATGCAAAGCCTTGTCGTTTACCTGTGGGACGGCATATAGATCGCCACGCTTAGATAAACCAACGCGACACAACTGATCACAATGGTGAACTGACAGAAGCAGATACTCCCGCATATCCTGCGATCCTGTTCCGGTATCAGGCGGCGTTTATGCTTTCGACCCATAGCGAGCCAACCAATCGGACACCCGCCCTTTCTTCCACCTTCCCTCTTTCCAACGGATAATTTCTGAAAACGGATTAACCTAAGTCTCCTTTCTCATCAAGTTTGGATCCGCTTCCAAGCACGACGATTTCTCGGCTCGCTCGTCACGAATCGTTCTCTCGACAGAGGGGGATATTCTTTGTTTGTCATCGATCCGTCCAGAATTCGTACAGATTCGTTCGTGGAACTTGGAAGAAGCGACGATGGTTGTTTATGTTCGTTTTCTGGAAAGAAAACGCAATCCATATTAGTCGTGACGTCGATCGATATGGATCGTTCGATGAGGGGTAAATTTGTTTGAGGGAATAATTGAAAAGTAGATGATGGATCTTAAGGGGGATGTAAATTTTTTTTTCATTTTGTTCTTTTATTTTTTTGAGAATATGAATTATTAATATTGCGATTGAAATTTAATTGCAATTATTTATATTAATAGAATAAATGTTTACATTAGACTGGTTAATCTTAATTAAGCGTTAATTCAAAATATGTGGATGAACGTTCTTTGTACGAATATAATAGAAAGGTTAATATGGTAAATAATAACATAATGTTATTTCATTTCAATTTTTATTTCTTTTATTTCTCTTTGAAATATAAAATGCAACGCTTGACGACTTTTGACCACATTTCCTAATGAAGTTGTACCAGTCCTTTTTGATCAATATTTTTTTCTTTTCGAATTTGAAGAAAGAAATTTATTAAAATTCTAAAGCTTTATTTTACATTATATTTTTAAAAAAAAATAATATTTCGCTTTTAACAATGTGCACGTTATACATTTAATTATAATGAAACAAATCTACATATATTTCCACAGATATTAAAACGCATAAGTTTACTCATAAAGAGAAAGAAAGTATATAAAATCCACTAAATAAATACGGATCTTATTCCCCAAATTTAATCATCTCATCTTCTAAAACAAATATTCACAAATTCACTTAATCCATCAATCACGACATGGAGGAGAGATTTATTATAATTAAAGCATTGAAAATTGATCTATTATCCTCGTCGGTTCTCTCGTTTTAAATCGCAGAAGGGTTATTTCCATCTATCGGTTAATTACTTTCGCGTGAAAGGATCGAGAAACAAGCTATGGAGATCCCTTTAAGAATGTAATTTAATTTACGATATTCCATGAATTATCGCCGAGCTAAAGTTTTCCTCGGTTCTTGAATTTTCCAAACCTTCGATCCCGTTCCCATAACAGGTGTCTCAACGCTCGAGCGGGAATATTCTTCTCGGAAACACGTTTCATCGATTCATACAAAAATTTTACCTATAACCCACCTCGACTCGAATCCTTCTCTCTTCTCCTTGTATTCCCCTTGGATAAACCGATCGAAGCGCGCTTCTATAAAATAAAAAAAGAAGTTCGTCCTCGATTTAAGTGATATCGAAGTATGAAAGGTCGCGTGGAACATTGATTTTCCGGTTACGTAAGGTGGTTGATTTTACATAAAGTCCGTGCATGCGATCGAACTCGAATACGTACTCGAAAAGTACTTTTCTCGACCAGTCCTCGTTTCTCGAATAATCCCGAAATTGAAATAAGGGAGAAAGTTTCGAGGAGTGGAACAAAATTTCGCACAAGCGAAACTTTCTATCGATTTCGGTTTGCCTCTCGTTTTGCACGTAGGATGATCCCCTCGTTAAGGAATCGTATCGCGATGGTCTCGTTAGCCTTTCGCCGAATCGATTTTCGACTCATCGTTCCTACGAATCCTCGTGATATCAAAGAATATCTCGGAAATTATCGATTCTAGAAAGAACGATTCTATGAATAACAACGAGGGATACTCCCGTTTTACGTGAAATGAAGGGGAGCGAGGGAAATATTCTATTGATAGGGAAAAAGAAATGGATTTTGGGGAAAGTTGTGAAAATTTTCTTCTTTGTGAAATAGAAGAAAAAGATAGGGATTGATTTTGTACGAATATCGTGAAGTTTTATTTTTTCAAAGAAAGATATTCTATTTCGTGATTTTAAAATTACAGAAATTTTTGCGTAGACGCACAAATTAAGAATCTTTCAAGTATCTCGAGATCGTTTTTTTTTTTTTTCTTTACTTGGCGCTATCAAATTTAACGCTATTAAGGCAATTACCGGATTTTAACTTCATTAAGGCGCAGCGTTAGTGTAAACAGATGCACTCCATCGGATGACGTGCAATTAGATACTCGTAATCCTATTACGGCGTAAGGGACGATCGCTTAACGGCCATTCGAAAATAATACATATCGATTCATGGAAACTTTCAAACTCTGATAAACTATCCTGTTCTAAGGTTTCTTGAATATTCTCACGCGAGCTTATGATCTAACGATGCTTAAGGTTGATCTCAAAGGGAATTCGAAAAGGCCAATCGTCAGTGTACGTGCGATGAGTATATTGGTATATCTGTCTCGATGATAATATTTTTTTAAATATTCTTTGGCCAGAGTATAATATTTGATCTTTGAGATTTTCATTTTAAAATGATATATATATATATGCAAAAATCTAATGATAGCACGATAGAGCTAATTTTGCGGTGTATTTTCTAAAATAAAAAATAGTTAAGTATAAAAAAAGATCCATGTAAAGTTGTAATAGCTAATAATCTATTTTTACGCGTTTAAAAATTGAATTCTTTTTTTTTATCGAAGGCATTCGCTCGGGTGAGAATTACCGGTATGAACTTTGATTATAATTAGCAATAAAATTTTAATCCAATACAGATAAAAAAGAAAATAATGCAAATAAATATCATTACACATTGATTCTAGTGAAAACATTTACAAATGAAATTAATATTAACAAGTTAATTTAGGAACGAAATTATTTTATATATCTATTGTATTTTATACTTTGTTTATTATATTGATACGAGATACATGAAATTTCAAGATACCTGATTCCCATAATGTAAACTTTGAATCCTACAAACTATTATACACGTTCTCTAAATAAATAATAGCACGTTCTCTAAACAGTGTTATAACAACATTTACTATAAACGTGTCCACAATATATATCCATGTTTCATCGTTTACCTTTAAGTCTACTTTTGAGACTTAAATGTCACATACATATATCCAGTCGAGGACGTCCTAGTGAATATCACTTCTTATTTTTTATTTTTAGAAATCGACTCGACTTCTCCTCTATATAGATCCAAACTATATAATATTAAACAAAAAACCAACAACAGTTCCAATTATAATCGAGCACAATCAAACATAGTGATAACATTAAACACGAATAATTCCTAGTGAATACTACTTCTTATCTTTTATTTTTAGAAATCGACTCGACTTCTCCTCTATATAGATCCAAACTATATAATAACAATAATATTAAACAAAAAACCATCAACAGTTCCAATTATAATTTGCAATCGAGCACGATCAAACATAGTGATAAAATTAAATACGAAAAATTCTAATTTTCATTTATTATATCCATATTTAAAAAAAAGAAAAAAATAAAATAAAATCGACATCGTACATAAATTCGTACGTATATTTTACCTGCTTCTCGGCAAGTAGCAGCAAATCACCGATAGAAATTTTCAATCACCTTTCCAACCCTGACACTGATGAAATCCATCGAAATTCACTCTATTGTTCCCTCGCACGGCAATATCGCACGATCCCTCGATATCTATCTATCTATCTATCGATATCTGCACGACTCGACGATAGCCGCGGGCAAAAATCTAACTCTGCTCACTTTCGAATACACCAGATCCGACGAGATATCGGTCAATAACGATATGAACCGTCCGGATTCTCATTTCCATCCATCTTCCTCGATGTCATTGCTTCCCCGTGGTCCGTTGACACGAAACGGTCTTCTACAACCTTCGGTACAGCGTCGAACGACCACGAGGCACCCACGCAATCCGGATGACTGTTTGAAAACAAGTCTGTCCGTCGAATGTATGGCTGGCGAGCTCTCCCATACCGAGTTTGCGCACCGTCACCTCATCGCGTTTATGGTGGCTCTTCGATGTCGAGGAACGATACGCAGAAGAGCCACCCTCTCTTACGACTGTTTCTCTTTATAAAAGTAAGACTTCGTTTGCGGATAAGCTAATTAATTAGAAGTGGATTATATGTCGACATATTCTGACTTTTTGAGAACGTTGAGGGTGATTTCGAATCTTTTTGTAGGCAGGAAGTTAATTTTCAATGTTAATTAATTTTGATTAATGGCACGGATAGTAGTAAAGGTTTTGTGCTGTTTGTTCGATATTATTATGTCTTTATAGGGAGGGGCGAGTATTACGAATTTTTTTATTTTGAATTGTTTCTCCTTTTTGCTTACGATTTCGTGTGGATAAATTTAATTAGGAATGGATGAGATCGATGCTGACCTCTTTTGAGTATATTTGAGATAATTTTCTAGGCAGGAAGGTAATTTTGTTCAGTGACGTTTGTTAAATAATTTGTTAGATAACAGTGGTAGTTATAAAGTTTTTATGCTGATTGGTTTCTTTGGTATTATTTTGAGATAATAGCTTTAATGACACTTTGTTTATTAAATTATAATCGCCTATGACTGTTTTTCTTTTTTTAAATACACTAATATTACTTAGATGAGCAAATTAATTAGAGATTATATCAATACTTTTAAATTGTGTTTAAGAATGGTGTTTAAGAATTATGTTGTGGAGATGATTAGGTAAATTTCAAATGTTTTAAGGGAAGTAATTGTGTAGCAATTTTAGTAAATTTCTTAGAGTATAGATAATAATAAATTGAATTTTTTATTTATTTATATGTTACTTTGTTTGATAAAGTAGATGATATTCGTAAAGTTAATCTTTTTGTATCTAATTTTTTTATTAATCTGTTGTTGTAAATTGTTATTTAATTAAGTCGAAGTTAATGAATCATCATACTACAAATTTTATTACTGATATATATTTAGATATATACTGATATATATTTAGAAATGTTACGCAAATGAGTATTTTCTAGTGTTTCTTTAAGTATAGGAATCATTTTATGAAGGTGAGAAGTAAATCTCGTAAATAGTTATATATAGCTTAATAACCAGTTATATAATTATATCTTTAAATAATTATTTATAGATATATATACACACATATATATTATCCAGTTTTAATTCCAGTTAAAATAAATTCTGATTCTGTCGATAAATTTTAATAATAAAAAAAATTATGCAAATTATAATTTTATTATTTTACGTCCAATTGTATTACATTCTCGTTATTCAATATTCATAATAATATTCATTATTCATAACAATTTCGCAGTATTCATAACAAAACGTACAATTTAAATATTTACACATTTACATCTCGCAATTGTAATTGCAATTTAATTATTGCACGTAACTTGTGCAATAATTTCCATCTAGTTAGTAAGTTTCTCGTTCTCTGGTATAATTGCATAATACACTGAACAATTCGAAAATTCGGTAACCAGCGAGAGTTATAATTTCACCACAGTTTGAATAATTTAATGCAGCAATAAGGTTTGTTGAAGTTTCGAGGAGTTGCAAGAGGCATCGCATTAATGTAAATTTTCTAAGCAATCGTTGTCTTAACAGATTTGCAAACTTTACACGTGTAAAGCTTGATTATATCGGCAACATTAAATAATTCGAATCAAAGATTCGCCTCACATAGAAAACGTATTTTTATATTATAAATTTTCCTTTCAATAATAACGCATTTTCTATTTAATGATTCACCCATGAAAGATGAACTTTTCGTTTATTGGACATTTCGTCGCTCTCGACACAATATTTTCGAAGGCCTAGGAAGGATTGAGCACGAAATACACGTATGTATATTAAAGCTTAAAAGCTTTTCCAAAGTGATTGCCACCGTTACATGGGCTATGTACATTCGCGAAATAAATACACGACGCTCAAATTCATTGTCTCATATAGATACATACAAAAATTCATCGAATTACTTCGTAAAGTAAAAAATTTTTTTAGCAATTCCATGATTCGCTTCGCTCGAATAACGCGATCGATGATGAAAATTTGTTATAACCGATCGATGCAATTCTGAAAAGAAGAGGAAACGAAGTTTAAAGAAAAAATAAAGGGTAGTAAAAAGAGAAAAGTGACTTAATGTCCCAAAGAGAAAAGTCGATTGTATTTAACAGAAAACAATGTTTCTGTATATTTCAAACGAAATATCGTACAATCTTTTATTTACAATAGTCCGTTAGTATCGCAGAACGAGTACGTTTTATATAATATATTATATACAAAGTATATATATATAGTATATATATATATATACTCAAGACTTACAATGGTACGCACGAAGCTGTGAACAATTTTTTCCTTCTTAGATGAGATCTAATATTCTCGAGTAAAGAACCGGGAAGCTTTCTCGAAGAGCGTTCTTCATTTTTTTATTTTTTATTTATTTATTTATTTATTTATTTATTTATTTATTTATTTATTATTCTTCGTACCGTATAGATCGTCAATTGAGAAAGATATTAATAGGTAAGATAGAAAGAGAGAGGAAAGAGAGGAGAGACGAAGTAGAAAATGATCGAGGAATCGCTATCGTCTAAATGTCGAAGTTTAAAGTCGTGAAAGGAGAAGGAAAGGAAAATAGTTGTTGAAAAATAGAAAGGGAAAATGGCTTAACTATAATGTATGTGCAGGTACATTAGAATTAATTAAATAACATGCGATAGAGCATATTATGCATAAGTATCGATAGAAATAGAGATTTTTACAATTAATCGCCGCTTTCTAATCTGTAACCGTCTATGCAATTTCCTTTTATCTTCCACATGGTTTCGCTATTGCTCGCAGATTATTCTTGATTATTAATTTAAATTACGAGTGGTCGATATTTTTTATTTTCATTATTATTATTATTTATTTTTTATAATATATATATATATATATATATATATATGTATATGTATAACTTTTAACCACGAATCGATTCGTTCTCTCAATTTTATATCACTTTTTAATGCAATATATTTCTCAATTTTTCCTAGAATTTCGTATTTAATCTATCTAATTTTATCGACGTCTTCTCCCGCGACCGATGATTTCTAATTACGATTTCCTTTTCAACTCGATGATCATTCGCGAGGTTCCTCTAATCGACTAATTGGCACTAAACCGATCTGATATGAGAGATATGGAAACGCTTTGAACGAGCTCCTCTTACTTGGATGGACTTTCCAATCGAAACAATTCTACGAATTTGTATTTGAATTTCCGAAACGATTGATCGAAGCACGATGAATTGTTTAATCGAATAGTATATAATCGAAATAGTCTAATAAACGATCGCTTCGACGATTTTATCGATTGAAGAGAGATGATAAATATTTAATGATGCCACTTAAAATTTTTCGTATTAATCGATCGTTGATAAACATGAATCACATTGAAAATCGAAGGGCTCAATGGAAAATTGGCACGAGTGACAAAATTTGTATATCGAGATGGATTATTGGATTATTGTTTTTCGAAGCTTTTACATTATCGTAGAATTTATATATGCATATATAGAATCAAAGGATTCTAAGCGTGAGCCATGTTCTAAAGGAAGATATATATCAGAATCAGTGTATTTTCGATGAAACTTAATTTTAATCCTAATAAAATTCTCCTTAACAATTTTATAATTTCACCAGGAAATGTTTATTCAAATTTTTACCCTCATTTTGGAAAAGAAACACGCTCGAATCATTTTTCCATTGAGCAGCTCGATTAATATCATTGTTTCTAATCTCGTTCGAAAAGATTTTTTTTTTTCAATTTCTTTCTCTTCGCTTTGGCCTTTCGCCAATCTTTTATCATCATTTCGTAAATCGAGCGCCTTTGAGCAAAAATTTCACGTGACGCGGATAAAGGACGCAAGAGAGAAGATCTCGTAAATATAGAACGGTGGAACGACGTTGAAATTTGAAAAGCGCGCCAACGATCCGCCGATCGATCGCCAGCCACGCGCAAAACGGAAATCGATTAGCAAGCTTCGAGTGGGGAATGAGTGCCGAAACGCAGGCTCCCGTTGGGATTCGCCTCTTCGAGACGAATCTCTCCAACACGTTGCCTAGAGTAAGGCCGAGTAAAGGATTCACAACCATTCTAGATGTACAGGCTCGCGATTTAGATTCCATAAACTTCGAAACAACGTATCTCCTGCCGCCAATTCCAATTTCGATTCGAATACTCGATTCGAGACTTCGTAATTTAATTATTCGTAAATTAATGTTATAAATTCTATTCATAATATTTATACACGTACATTAATAAGTAATTTAGAAATCTGACACAGTGGATCCTTGGAATTCGAACAAGAATATTAAGCTTCTAATTTAAGTTAGATTAAATTTATGGTAATAATGTAATTGTATAATAATAATAATAGATAAATAATTTCTCCAAAGAAACAAAGGATATATGAATGATAATGAATGAAGGATAATATGAATGATAATGAATTTTATAATGAAATTTTCGACTATTGTGTTACAGGAAAATTATTAATTAATTGATTTTTTTTTATTTATTTTGAACGTGGAATTTAAATTGAATTTATCTCTATTTCAAATGAGAGATTTTAATTCGAACAACTCTCGAATTTGGTCTCTTGGATTCGAATTTCGAAGGTCTACTGTAATTAATAATTCTAAACACATTAATTGTTGATCTTTAATTCTAATAATATCAAATTTGATGAATCATTCGCACAGAATATGGACATTACCTTAGAAATATTGAAAATTATAAAATTATAGTATAGATATCGTGAAATTATTGCATTTATCCTCTTTTCTTTTTTTATTTCTTATAAAAATTAACGATGTGCGTTAGAGATATTCGATTTCTAAGATTACGTTCATGTTTCGAAACGAAACGATTAATTTAAGGATTTGTATGAATCGAAATGGGAGGAATTATTGCTAATCAATATTCTCTGATAATTTACGCGAACGCTGTTGTCACACGTTGTTTCGCAGCTTGTGGAAACGCAGATCGCTCGTCCCTTTCGAAAAACCGAAACTGAAAAAACCGATATCTACAGCTATAAACTACGTATACGCACGTGCACGCGTGCATTTATTATGCAAATATCCTTCGTACGTTCCTAACTAGAACCACGACGCGACTCGCGTCCGCGTAAAAAATTTGTAACAATCGTAATCGTATCGATCATTAATATTCACAGACTTAACACCTTACGGGCTAAACTTAAATCTATGAGTTTTATTTCATTTTTTTTTTTTTATCTCTTTGGTGCGAAGACATATCCTGGAGGCCGTCGCGTCATCGCCTTCATCATTCCTTGCGTTTCATTCACCAACCACTTCGAAATTATTAATTATTTAACTATTCCCCTCCCCTCCTGTTGCAAAAATAGCAATGATCTAAACAATAATCTTCGCCTTTATCGCGAAAAATAGCAGTATATTCTCCTCTTAACCTTAAATAATTTTGCAACATGTGAAAGCACTATGATCCACGATTTTTTTTTTTACTTTATTTTTTTTATTTTTTTTTTTTTTCCTTTTTATTTTGATATATTTTTCACCGTCGAAAAAATATCCTCTCTCCTTCTCCCCTTATCTTCGATCTCCGACACGAATAATAACATCATCGATTTTCGAACATTCGAAGTAGAAATAGAAACGCTGAAATGGTATGTACTGGCACGTACATTCGCGTGACACGAGCCTGCACAGGATTTTGATTTCTTTTCTTACTTTCGTTCGAAACGCTCGACGAATCGATTGTTCTTCTCCGACGAACGTTAACAAAACGTAGATGTTTCTCGATCATTTCGATCGTGAACTCGGATACGCGCAGATCTGGGTAAAATGATATTTTATGTAATTTAATTAACACTTTCGAACGATGCAATTTCATCGAATTATCGTAAAGCAACATTGTATCGCGGGATACAAATTAATCCGGACAACGTGCTTCTTTTTAAACACATTTCGTTTCCAATATTCTTCTTTATTTTTTCGCTTTTTTCGTTTTTTATTTTATTTCTATTTTTTTTTTTTTTTCTCTCTCTTTTTTTTTTTTTTTACATAGTTTCAAACGTCATCTTACCCGAGTCTGGATAAACATGACTTAAAAATACAGTACATCATTTATCCTATTACGAACGAATGTTGCTTTTCCTCTTTTTCTTAAACGTGCCACTTGGATATTTGTTCCTTAAAGTTATCACGTTTAAAGTTATCACGTTGTAGGAAGGCGCACCTTGTTACAATTTCTCGTTCGGAATACTGGTAGATGATCGAGACTGAGCTTTGTTCTCACCGATGTCGAACAAACCTACCTTGCCTTGTAAATTCACGAGAGCCCGTTTATTATTGCGGTATAAAAATTTTGTAAAGCGATTACGCGTCTCGACATCGAAACAAAAAAAAAAAAACATCACATTTTCTATACAATTGCAGGGATTAATCATTTTTTTTTTTCTCGGAATAACTCGGTGTAAAAATATCGCAGACATTCTCGGTTTAATTCGATCGCTTTGGAAAATATTTTCGATGTACGATCCCGTTCGATTTAAAATTTCAAAATTCGTATTGCGATTTATCGCGGGACAAGTCTTTAGAAAAAGGAATTATTTTTATATAATATCTCGTATAATAAACGTATAATATTATGTATAATATTAATTTTGATTTATTGCAAAATTGTGAGAGGGATATCGTTAAAGATGAAATAGCCGAAGAAAAAATTTTTAACGATGTTAATATCAATTAAAATTCAATTCTTTGCTTGGTCAAAGATCAAATTTCTTTAGATGCTTATCAAAATTTAAAGTTAAATTAAACTCAATATTGATTTATACTTGTTTCTTTAATAATTCATATTTTGCAAGCATTAAATCGTGCGTGAATATGTATAATTCGTTAAAAATATTTAGTTGGAATTTTTAAATGATCTTTTTCTTCCTCTTTTTTGAATCGGCCATATCATATGCAGCAATTTAATAATTCATTTACTACGGACCGTCAAAAAATGGTCCATATCCAAATGGGAAATATACAAAGGAGCAAAATTATTTATACCAATTCTCCTTTAACGAATGCAATTATGCTCAAAGTGCAATGTATCGCAATTAAGATCAATCAATAAACAGTAGAAATCGGAAACGTAAATGCATTTATCTTCGTTGCTGGAAGTTTCCCTAACGCTTCTATTGCTTTCGAACGATTAATTTTAGAACGTAAATAACGGGGATTATTTTTCAGTAATTCCTTCGGCGTCACTCCCTCGCTGGGGGGTGAGCCCTTGGCAGCAGTCAGTATTCCTCCTCATCCTCCTCGAACTCGTCCTCTCCCAGAATACTGTACGAATGCAACAGAAAACTTGTAATAGAAAATACAGCAGGGCCTCTTTGTCGAATTGTGGTTACTGGAACATTGCTTCGAGGAAAATTAAATTAATTCCTTTGTTATTAACAAACAAATTTTTCCACGATATTATCATTAATCTTTTCTAAAATTTTAATTTGAATCATATTTTTATTTTTACAAAATAATATTGCACGTTTTATATCCGATTAATGATTAAACGTATCGTTTGTCGTGAAATTTACATAAGATTTTTGATATCACGATGTATTGGACAAACAGTTGTAATTCAGTTGCTCGGCAAAAATGGAAGTCAAAGACATTCCAAATTTTAAATTCGACGAATTATGATGAAATTCCTCGAAGCAATTCTAAAACGTAGATGAGGTATAGGTTCTTCTAGCCACACTGGGCACTGCATACATACACGTTACTTACTCTTCCTTCCTTGCGTACTTGTCAATCAAGTTGCGACCTGGTCCTCCGCAAGTCTTGCCCATCGGTGGACAATACCAATAGCATAACACACCGAGGGACACTCCGAAAAGAACTGTAGGCACTACCAAGGCTAGCACTAGATGCCTCAGATTTTCATCCCAAGAGTATCTAAGAATTAAAAAAGAAACGGATCAATAAAAATATATATATATATAAAATATAAAACAAATTTTTCAATCGTAGTACAAGTTATAATTTTATAGATAAAAAAATGAGAAGATGCAAATCTATTGAAAAATTACGATAGCAACTGCATTAACCGATCGATTTAACCGCGGAAATGGCACGCGTTCGTGCTTGCCAAGTTGGTCACGAATGGAACAGCCTTGGTAATTATACCTTGCAACGACAGTCTCTGGATGCGTTCTGCTGTAATAACAAGGGAATATTTTCCCCATGTTCGAGTATCCATACTTCTTGGCGAAGTCGGAACAGTTCACCCTGGGCGGGTAACCGCAACCCTCCGTGTTCACGAAAAATTTCGTGTCTGAAACGTCCCACTGTATGGTGCTCAACGGTTTCGCTATGAATTCCTCGAACGACAGCCTCGTGTAGTTCACCCTGATCTGATGGCAACGAAGCGCTGCGCTTGTACAACCTATAATCACACAGAACGATCTCATCCCGCTCGTTCAAATGTGCAAATTCAAATCGTGGAACTTGACCTGTACCTTCTCTACAGCTTGCCCAGGAGCAATTCTTCAATCCCTCGGCGTAAACGTGGTCGGTGACGACGCAGGCAACAGCGTGTGGAGAAAAGTCGGCCAGGATCGTGGTCACTGCCGGCTCCACGACGAACGGGATCAGAAAAAGGAAGGCGAAGACCGCGAGTATGGCCGTGGTACCCAGGCAGAGGGAGGTGTAGAATTTAGCTTTCTCCACCAAAGTCACCACCTCCACCACAGGCAGCACCCCGCCTATGGTGCTGGACTTGGTGTCCTCTTCCTGGGCGCCCATGATCACCGTCGACTCGTCGGAATCAATGATTGCTCTATTGTAGGGGGCCGCTTGGACCCGCTCTTCCCTCAAACTTGAAAACTTCTTCTTTCCGCCTCCGAAGACGACGATTATTATGGATATTGATCGATCTTCCACGGAAATTTTATCTTTCCACGGATTCACGCTTCCCTTTTTTTTTTTTTTTTTGTTTGGTAGCTTGGAATTCGAATTCAGCGAATTCAGGTCAGGCTCTTTTTTCTTTTTTTCTCTCCGTTGTAAGTAAATAGATGGTCGACGATAAGATTCGATCGATTGATTTTGTTTAATTAATTATACTGCAAGCGTGTGCGGTTCGAATACTTTCAAAACATGCGCTCTCAAGCGACGAGATATATATCAAAGAGATCTGTCTAGGCTAGTATGCCAGTGGTGCAGTGGTGGTGGTGGTGGTGGTGGTGGTAGTGGTTGGGATCGATCATTTACCAGCAAGGCACGTCCTTCGATTCGCAAAGTGGTTTTTTTTTTTTTTTGTGTAGTGTTTGTGGTGTGATTACAATAAGAGTTGCTTAGCCTCGATACAAAGAGCTATATGTAATAAGTGGTTCTTATCTACTGTCACGGCGAATCAATCAGAAGGGGGACACTTAAAAGCTACCGACGAATGTTGTGTCACGTGTAAAAGACGCCGAATTGTTTCTCTTGTTCCTTTCTTTTTCTTTTTTTCTTCTTTTTTAATTCCGTTTTCCGTCGTATTCCGAAAAATGATTGGTCGATCGTCCAAATTCAGGATCCTTTTTCTTCTTGTCAGCAGAAGAGAGACAGGCGAGAGCTGCGTCGTACGAACTTTTCGAAGCGATTCATCCGCGCACGCTCTGTTTGTTGTCCAGGCGACGCGGATATTTTGAGAAAAAAGCACGTGCGCTCTCGAAAGTTTGTTTTTTACCTTCTTTTTTTTTTCTGTGCAGGCAGTGCGAGTAGAAAAAATCTTGTTGCTTTCTTTTTTTCTTTTTTTTTTTCCTTTTTTTTTCTTTTTCTGGTACTTGTTCTTGACCGCTTGCTCTCTCTCTTTCTTCTTCTCCTTTTCTTTCTTTTTTTTTTTCTTTTTTACTTGATTTTTTTGTTCAAAGATAGTTTCGCGCTTTTTGCAAAAGTATTGGAATGTTTTGTAGTTTTTGTATTTTTTTGCAAGATGAGAATTTTAACCACGCGTTCCCCCCCTCCCCACACCTTAATAATGCCCGCGCAGGGAGAATATCGACTGACGAGCCGGACTCTCCTCCAGGAGGGGAATGCCTGTGAACAGAGAGAAAATTTTCAACAAAAATTGTGAACAAAAATTCCGTTGATTTCGAATAAAATTATATTCATTTTTATGCACGAGCCTTTGCAACGTTTTTATCACGTTTTTAACTCTACTTTAATAATTGTGTAACGATAGTGCAGCAAATTTCGTGCATTCGTATAATCATCGATCCTCTTTATTCTCTTTCAATGTGTCTATTCAAACATAACTCAAACATAACAAATACAAGCCGTCTTGTGCACGTGTATACGAGGACACCCCTATTATTATCAACCCTATTTGTCCCGTTTAACTCGTTACGTATCCTTACGTGACGGATCTCAGAGCGCCATAGCGGAGTTTCCTCCGCCAGCATCCCCCAGGTTACCCGAAGCGCTCTTCTCCATGGACGAGAGTGCTCCAACTGTGCCCTTGAATCTCATCTTGGCGTCGTCCCCAACGACCACCGTCTTCTGGCAAAAGATCAACGTCAGGCAACTGACCACGAACAATATGCTGGGCAACAGCAACGCGATCAGGAACTCCTTGTACGTGTTCTCCAGATTGAAACGGGAAACAACGATCCCCGTGTTACTCTCGGCGTAATAGCAAGGGAATCTAGCTCGCGCGTTATGATCCGACCCGTCCTTCCCATACTCGTGAAGGAACTCCTTGCACTCCTCCCTCAAAGTGTTGACGCAACCCTCGAGATTGATCAACAGACGGCTCTCGTTCGCGATGATGAGATCCTGTTCAGGGGGCGCGACCATCCTTGTCTCGTCCAACGGTTTCGTGGCGAATATGTTGAGATAGGAGAGGTAGGTGAAGTTGGTGAGGTCGGTGAGCAGATCCTTCTCCAACACGGAGCCGTTGATGCAATCGACAGCCTCGACACCGAGGGTCGAGTTGAATATCCCGTAACACGAAGCCATCATCACGTCCCCACGATCCTCGTGCCATATTTCCCGATTCGTCTGCACGTCTATAGCTCTCTCGCACTGGCTCAGATAAACCTTGTCGCCTGTCATCAGGATCATGTTCTTGTTCCTTGTCGGTATGTCGACGCATCTACGGTCGCAGTTGTACGGCGTCCTGATACGCTCGCACGTCCCACGGTTACAATTGAACAGGCCGTCTATGTCTATGCAGGTTATCTTGCCGCGTCTACCCGAGCACTTCATCGGTGGGTCGGTGTCGTGGAATATGCACTCGAACGCGTCCGTTATGTTGATGCACACCCCCGACGAGCAATTGAACGTGCCTGTCAGATTGCGACACTCGTCCGCTATGCATTTCGATTTCTTCGCGTTCTCCTGATCGATCCCGTAACAAGTCTTGTTCGTCGTGTTTGTGCAGTTTGCCAACAATATCGTGGAACCGTTTCTACGAAGGTTCACGTGGATCTGGACGCACGGGCCGGACGTTTTCGACAGGCACCACTCCCCGCAGCTACCCCATTCACAGTTGTCCGCGTTCACAGCGCGTATCGTCGTGCACATCACTGGCACCTCGCTTATACCCGATTGAAACGCCCTTGTGCTCGGCATGTAGATGGCCACCGTTAGGTAGACCAGGGCGACGGAGGAGAGGACCGCCGTCATCTGGCAGATGCAAATCGTCCCGCATATCCGGCCGTCCTGCGGCGGGATCACCAAGTTCTCCACTGGCACTTGCTTAGGCATCTCTTCGATTCGATCACCAACGGATGTCGAGGGAACGATCGATCTGTAATATCCTGCTAAGGTTTACATCGTTACTCGGTTCGTTCGGTTACTCTTCCGAAAGCTCTCTCTCTCTCTTTCTTTCTTTCTTTCTTTCTCTCTTAGACTTGGAAGAGATCGAAGCTAAGAGGTGTGCACTGTCGAGAGGTGTGCATCGACGTTCTATCGATACATAGAAGGGTTTTTTATAGAAGGTTTGGTAGACGATCGTACGTACCGCCGACGATCCCTTCCATGGAAGCAAGTGGTTCGAATCGGTTAATCAACAGTCCTCCATTGTAACGTTTGTTTGTCCCGTGCTCCAGCTGTCGGTCGATCGATCTCTGCCTACTCCCTTGTTTGTTTTATGGTTACAACACTGGCTTGTGGTCCCTTGGCTTGGCGAAAGAACGGATGGAGCTTCCACCGATTTCAAGAAGGATGTTAAGAGAAGGGGCTTAAGGTCAGGCTAACCTCCGCATCTCGAGGATATTCGCGTCAGATGTTTCTCGCGAACCCGTGGCACCGATGATGCTCTTTTTGCTCGGCAGGAGACGAGGCTGGCCGCGCGCGTGTTCTGCTTTCGTGTTCGCTTTACGCCTCGTGTAAGGTGCGCGGCTCGAAAGCTCGAAGCGGCGCGCATCGATCGATGCCTCGCGTCTGCGCCACTTCGAACTGCAACGACGCCGTGTACTGCCGCATTTGACGTCATCGATGTACCCTCGTGCCATCGGGGGGGAATCTCTGGTAAAGGATAATCGTCCAGAGATGGCGGGATCCGGTGGATCTGCCGTCGTAATTGAATCGTTTCTTCCGTTTGATGGAAAATTTTGATGGACAAGTTTTCTTCTTCTTCTTGTTATTCGTGTTCTCTCGTTGACGAGGAACGAATGACCATTTAATAATCGAGGCAATTGAATTTTAGATGTCTGTGGATGTCTTTGTAATAATAGACGATTAATCACTATAGATTCATATTATGGATTTATCTTTCACGATTTTCCTTCGAGGATTAAAATAATCAATTTGCAACTTTTCTTTTTTCTTTTACTGATAATTCGTGACTCGTAAGTTTTCCTCATTAAATCAAATATTATTTTAATTGTGCAGCAAAGTATGGCAGTGTAAGAACGTTGTGCACGCAAATACAATATATATATATATATATCAGATGAAACTGGGTCGAAGATACATCGTTGAGAATAGATGCATTATTGATTACAATTATTCCTTTAAATCAGAAATTTCAATCTGTTGAATATTCATTTTAAATTTTATGGTTTTGACGAAACAAAGTTTTCATCGAAGATTAAAATCAAGAAGGAACCTCGATCCCTCGTATTATTTCTGCGTCATAAAATTTTACATCAAGCGTCTATTGCAATATCCAGTTTCAAACGTTTTATGGAAAATCATATTGTTATCGTGTATTTCATTTCTTAGAATGCAAATTGTCATGCAATATACTCATTTTAATAATCTATCTTTCGTGATATCGATACGACGAAGCGTTAACGCGAAAGAACAATTCGGAATTTTTATTTTGCGCTTTTAAATTAAAAAAAAAAAAAATTAATAAATATGAATCGCGAGAGTAAAGCGCAATTAATTAAGGAAAATAATTTTTCCCTTCACGACGCGCAATCAGGTCAGTTTTTCCTTCGAGATTATCGGTGGTGCGCGATACTAACCATCGCAACTGTGACACACTTTTCCTCGCCATAGGGGCTTTCAAGGCAGGTGACACAGTTTGAAGAGCGGGGAACAGAAGTAGAGAAGACAAAAAGCACGAAGTTCAAAGCATAATTAATCGCTTCGAATATAATTATAGAAATCTTTTATCCCTTCAATTTTTTATATCCCCTTTTAATTCCTCTAACAATATTTCTCAACCCGACCACTTTCAATTCGAAAATTCAAGAAACAATTTCTACAGACCTGACTCGTTATCACGACAAATTTTTCTTCGCTTAATTTTCGTAATATATCAGCCGTGCGAACGCAGAAACTCGACAATTGCCGCAATTACACCACTCTCGAGTCCACGATCGTGGTACTCTGGCTCGACTCGAAAAAAAGAATTTTCGAAAACCCTATTTCGTGGCCCTATATCGCAACGAGAACGAGAGGAAAAGGGGCGAGGAGTTGAGACGCGGCCCTTCTTTTTTTTTTTTTTCTTCCTTCCAACGCGGAAATTGCCAGCCAGAGATCGCGATAATACATTCGTTCCCGCGAAACTGCTTAATTATCAGCCCACGTTTTTCCATAACATGTACGCTCCAGTTTTTTAATTCCCGCCAAGTCGATGCCACCGATGAGGTTGTGACACAGTTTCCTCGTCGTGGCTAGGACCTTCGTTGGCGGGCTGACACAGTTCCAGGCGAAGGTAACGGAGAGAAGGAGAGAGGGAGGGGAGTCTGGAAGGGGTGAAAAAAAGAAGAAGAAGGAAGAGGGAGGATGAAGTAGAAGGCACGACGCGTTAGCACGTAATGTAGTTTATCGAGCGTTACCCGCAGACGGTGTGGCACCTGCTTTGCCTTCTTCCTCGAGATCTTGGTCACACGCGTCTATTGCCTGCAATTCCATTATCGAGGAGTACTTAAAAAATATTTTCTCTCTCTATTTCTTCCTGGATCCTTTAGAAAATGTTTAAAATTCTCGTTAAAAATTTTTTGAACGCTTCATGGTAATTTATATTCATTTAATTGAATTTGTCGAGTTGAAGTTATCTTGGAATATTTTATAATATCGTTAGATAAAATGATTGAACAGATCTTGGCCAAAAAATTAGTGATTTTCAATATTTGTATTTGATAATTTTTATTAACTATTATTTTACATTAACTTATCCATTATTTATTATGCACACTTTTTATTTGTAATTGATTTTATCAAATATCAAAAAATTGTATCTTTATATAAGTTAATTGGTGAATATGTGAGATATATGAACAATTAATAAAATTCGTGATTAAATTTTATCCAAGCACGAGAAATATTAAAAATTGTTAGCGATTCTAATTTTGACTGAGCAATTGATCATAATACAATTCCCGTATATTTAAAAATCCTCTATCATCCCTTGTCGCGTGTAAATGAAAACTCCCACTTCGAAACGTTAAATTTATTATTCCAAACTTGCTTTGTTTCCTCCCAATCGTGTTTCCAGTTAAACGAGAAGGCCACTTCTCCCTCTTCTCCCCTCCCTCCATTGCTTTTCTCCGTTTCCTGCATCCTCTTTGTCGCGTCGCGGCGCTCGTTAAACGAAACACGACACTTTCGTACCCTCTCCGCTCCGCATAAATATTTCGGGCCAATTCTACGCCGTTCCCTCCGATTTCCCAGACTCGAGAAGCGTACACGTACACGCGAAGGAAAATACACTCGGCTGCTCGGCTTTTCTTTTTTTCTCTCTCTCTCTCTTTTTTTTCTCTCTGCCGCGCGGCAATTTTCTTCGGGAAAGGCGAGAGCAGCGTTTACTTGGCGGCGGTGCGAGGTTTCGTTTGAAATCGTGGAACGCTTCGAGGGGAGAAATTTCTATCGCCGCCTTAAAAATGATTATCGCTCCGTCCAAAGTTCTCGATGCTATTGTTACTTATTGAACAGCTGACGACTCGAGGAGGATCCCCCTTGCGTGGGAAATCATGTATCGATTATCACGAATCGATAACGTAACGCGGTAGTAGAAACTTTTGTTAGGAGCGTGTGTAATTTTTATGATTGTAGAGCGCGCGGAAGGGGGAGGAGGAGGAGGGGTGATTGAATGAGTTTTAAGCGTATGGAAGTGGGACGAGAAAGTGGAATGAAAGTATAATAACAGTACTTTCTTTCGATTAGTACGATAATAAACTAGGAAAAATTTTAATGCGTAATTTAAATGTAAAATTGAAATTAAAATTTCGTTTTATTTCGTCTTGTGAACTTTTTCTTTTTCAAAAGGTTCCTTTAATTATGTTCGAAATTAATCCTTTGCCTTACAGAAGGAGAAATGTCATAGAAATTTCGAGAGTTAGTTTATCGTATTTATTAAGAGAATTAGAATTCATTATTTTCTTTTCACGCGACTCGAATAAAAATAGATTCTAAAAATGGGAGAATATTAATATTCGGATAATTTTAAAATAAAATTTTAAGAAAATAATAAAAGAAGGAAAACAGAAGGTAAAGAAGCAAGGTTTAAATACTATTTTATAGCAAAACGAAAAGAAAAAAGAAAACAGATAATCAAGAACACGAAGAGCACTTGTACTACTTCAATCACATGTGATCTCATCGATCTAATCCAATCAACTTCTGTCTTCTACACGTTACACAACATATACAAGCTCGAAAACGAGAAATTACAATTTCAACTACGAACTATCCTTCTCCATCAATTTTAATATTACTTTTATCCTCTATTGAAATTCACGCCGTATTTTACCTATAAATTCAATACCCATAAAATACACCTAATATATATAATCCACCGAAATTAGAAACGAGTTTTATAAACGTGAATGCACGGCAGTTTATCACCACGTGCTACGTCCAAGAATAACCCGAGCCGATCGATCGGTTAACGATCGTCTACTCTAGTTTCGCACTAAATCAGCTGCACGTCGTTACAACGAAATTGCACCTTTACTATTACTATACCCCACAATACACCATAATAAACAAAACCACCGAAAGAACGCCTCAGATCTCCGGGCAAAAATGAATCGAAATATCAACGCGAAAGAGAAATATCGTCGCTCCTTCGCGTCGCAACGATCAAACGCGAGCCGCGCGCTTTTCCGTCCCTCAGATCTCAAGTCGAAGTCGAATCACCGACGAATCGTCACGATGCGTAAATATCACTCAGGCTGTTATCAACAACCACCTGTCAAACGTTCCGCGTTGTTTACAGCCTGCCTTCGAAGAGGCAGAGTCGCAGGCACGATCGGTCGAGCACGCACGATTCTCGCCGCAGTGCCGCTAATCCGCACGGAACACCATCGACGCGGGAAATCGGGGTGAAAAGCGTTTCCACGGGCGTGCACTCGTCAACTGATCGGTTACTTACGTGAAACGGCGATGAATCAGCGAGTGGAAGAAGCCCCTGGAAAATCCGCTTTCCGCAATCTCTCCCTGCTCTTCCTGAGGGAAACAAATATGGCGGTGCGCTACCACTGGAGCTGCGATGGCTCCACCTCGTTGTTGCCGTATCGTACCAGAAAATCAATACTCCTGTTGCCCACCAATACCGAGGCTTCTTCCTCGAAACTCGCTCACATCCACTGGCAACGATATCTTCCGAGGAACTATAGGACTGTACAGGGAATATAGTGGATAGAGGGATTCCCTCTCTCTCGCTTTATCTCCATCGTTTCTCTTTCTCTCTATCTCGATCGTTCGCCCATCCTCGTAACACTCGATGGGTTTATACTCTTCTGTCCCTGTCGTTGCCACTCGTCCTTCATTCAACGGTGGGAAAAAGTGGCCTGAATGGGAATCGGAAAATCAGATTTCCTGATCCCGTTAACCGGGCTCGACGAGTGCTATCGTTCCTATTGTCGCCTCGGTTTACCACTGTTT